ATAATATATACAAACCTTGATTTGTTTCTATCAAATTCTCTTTGCATTTTATACAAAATAAAAATATATTGACTTTTACTAATATTAAAGCAACTTTTTAATATTTATAACCACCTCAATTCACTTTATCTGTTCTTTTTTCCCTTTAACTCCCTGTAATACTTAATTTTTAACATGCATAGTGCATTTTTAAAGTTAAGTTTATTTATAATTTTTTATTCTTAATTTTTCATAATATAGGAGATGGTAAAAATCTTGCAAAATTTAAAGTTAAATTAAAGAAAATAATTTTCAAATTAAAAAAAAAAAAAACCTATTAGGTTACCTTATATTTAAAATTTTAGTTTTCATGATGTCATCCAAAAATTCAAGTTTAATTACTCAAATTGTTAACTACTTAAAATTTTTAATAAAGTTTAAAGACTAAAAAGTTACAATCTTATAAGTTTGAGAGTTTAATTCTCAATTTAATCTCATTAATTTCTATGTATTCTGATTTCTAGTGGTGTATATGACTTCCAAACAAAAACCTTCACAAATTTTCATAAATTTCCTAAAAGAACATAGTTTCAATCAACTAAAATGCCCAAACCCCGAATAATTTATAAAATTACCACTACCCTTGGATTTTTTAGAGAGATAGAGGAACAAAATAGAGAGATAAAAGGAAGAAGAAAGGTTGACTCTACCCCTTTATACTACTTTACTTTAGATTCATTAAATATATTAAAAAGAGCAATACCTAAACAGGGGTTTGTTTGTTTTTTAATTTGTGTTTTTAGAGTAGACATTAAAAATGTATTTATCATTTTTATTGTATTAATTAACATAAAAAATAAAAATTAATATTAATTTTACCATTGTCTCTTAAATTCATCTAATGGTAAAAATGATGTTGAAATTAATATCAATTTTTATATATTTTTATGTAAATTACTGTAATACTAATACTATTAAAAATATATAATAAATGGACTCTTAAATACAAATTAGGCAAACCCTAACTAAATTTAATATTTGGTTGATTAACTATTAGTAACTTGTTGTCTCTCCTTAAAAAGGCAATTCTTCAACTAAGTGAGCTGAGGGTTGGATGTATGTTGGTTCTATAATGATAAACGCGATTTCTGCTGATTGGTTTTATTGTCAAACACCTTTAAGAGGGTGCGGTTTTATGTTCTATCATTCTATGTTAGTTCAGTATTTTTGTAAGGGTTGCCTCGATGCTTTTGTTTTATTGTTGTGATTTTTTGACGATAAAAATTTATTATAAATTTTACAGTATTTAAACAATCTGAAACAAATAGATATATACTAAATTATGCATCTCGTTTTGATTCAAAGGAGTCAATAAAAATTGCATTACCTCATGTATATAGTTTTTTATTTAATATTGTCAAATTTTATATTTCAATGTAATTGTAATTATATGCACCTGACCCTTTGGGTCAACTGACAACCTGCCAACTTAAAATGCATTCCCCCTTTCCTATGAAAGCTCGCCTCATGAAAAATTAGTTAAAAAAAAATGTAATTATGATTATATTGTGATATATAAAGTTAAAAATCCTGTAAAAAGCTAAAAGACACTTCTAATAAAAAAAAGAGAATTGATTAAAATTTTCAAAAATTGTAGAAAAATAGGTTCATCTCCCAAAGTTCTGCTACTTTTCTTAAAAGAATTTCTAATAAGTAACTGTGCACCATGTAAAACCTTGTCACCCTAAAATAAATAATGCTTCTTTGCTTTGGAACGTTGAAACTTAATTTTTTTGGGTCATATAATGTCTACATGGTGCCACATACACATGGACATAAAATTTCACAGTACTTACAAAATGAATGAACATTTTAATACATTTTTTTAAAGAAATAAAAAATTTCTAGACCAAAATGATAATCATCTAGTAGTTAATAGATTAAACATTAAAAATTTGTCCGTTAAATACTTTTACGGCGAAAAATATAATTCAGGTATTAATATTACTAAAACACTATTAATAAATAAATATATAAGAAAAGTTAATTAAAGGTGTTTTTGGTAATTTTATTATCCTAAATGCGAATGCTGACTTTTTATTTTTTTGAAAAGAGACAATAATGAATGCTGACTTTGGTTAAGTACACGTCAGGTTCTTTTATGGCAAAGTTGCCTTTGTGCTGCTCTGTTTTTGCTCTGTTTTGGTTGCCCAGATGCGCCTGACATTTTGGTGGCTGTGCGTTTTGAAACTTGAAAGTCTCTCGCACACTTATCGTATTTTTCTTATGGAAGACAAGTGATGACTTTGCAAGGGTTCAAATATTACTTCCATGAATCGATTTTTTTATTTATTAAGATAAAAAAGGGTGTCGATTTAACTGCCAGTCTCTAATGCAAGCTCAGCTCTCATTTCCCTTTAATCCAAACAAAAGTTCTTGTTTGAATTGATTAAAATGTCTATCTTAATCCCATAGTCTATCACTACATATATTAATTTCAAGAGTTAAATCTATTAGTATGTAAATATCATAAACTTTAAAATTTAAGTTTGAGGCTAATATTTAAAAAAACTTAATTTTCTTTAATTATAAAGGAGACATCCTTAAAAACAAAAAAAAAAAAAAGATAAAGCACATAAAAATTAATTTAAAAACACCCTTTACCATATATATCAGTGCATATCTTAAAATAATGTCATTTCTCATCAACCATATACATCGTCCAAACGCAAGCAGCGTGCTTGAAAAACCAAATTCCAGCAATCTCACCGTTGCTCTTTTTCGGCCCACACCCAAAATAAGTACAATGGATTTAGGACAGTCAAAGAAGGAGCCCACCACGTACAAATTTGAATCCACAACTTACAAAACGTTTTCTTTTGGTACATGGGGCTGTGCTTTACATCAACTTATAAACCTTTACACGTCTCACAGAAAAAGGGTCTACTTGGACTCTTTCCTCTCTCTCTCTCTCTCTCTTTTTAAGGCAAATTAAATTTTTTTTTTAATCTTTGACAGTGCATGGAGTATTCTAATCCATTATATATATATAAAAAAAAAAGTATTGTCCCATCATATTTTTTTTTATTGCACAATAAAAAACAGTCATTTTTTTTTTATCTAATCTCATTCATATATTATGTAATTTGAATTTAAAATTTTTAATTTCTAACAAAAAAAAATAATTATTAAGTTATTTAAGCAATTAGCTGTTCAATCATACATTAAATAGCACAAAATGATGTTTGAGGCTTTAAGCATTGTAATTCCTCTTTTCACCAAGCAGTGTTTTGTTGGTAATTTATTTAATGACTGTTCAGTGCAACGATTTTATCTATAATAGTGGACAAAATTTAAAAATTAATAATAATAATTATTAATAATTTAAATACTCTTATTTATTAAATTAAATAGATTATTACCGTTATTTTTAAACTACTGAACATCCCTTTAAAAGTTTAAATACATTCTTCGAGCAAAATTAAACAATATCAGTTAACCAATGATAGAGAAATATAGAGAAATTTCATTCAATAACTAAAAATACAATGATTAGTGCTTATAATATCAGTACTAAATAAATTTAGGGTTTTTTTATGCTGAGTACTTAGGGATGTACAGAATAAAAGTGTATTTTTGTATTTTTTATTATTGATACATATTATAAAACTAAAAATTAATATTAATTTTATCAATTATCTAATAAAAATATCTATGTATTATAGATATTAAAATTAATATTATTTTTTATTTTTTTATGTAAATTAATACATAATTAATAATAAAAAATATAATAAATGCATTAAAAAAACCCATAAATTTATAGTTCTTCTTATTAGTGGTAAAAATTACTATATTAAACAGTTACAAAACTTACGAAAATTAAAATCAAAATTAAAATAGAAAAAAACCAAAATCAAAATAGAAAAAACCAAAATCACACCAAATCTAACCTAAATAACCATTAATTAATCCTTGGGTATTGAAAAATAATAATACGAACAATGTTATAAAGATAATTTTTTTATATAATTTTTTAATATAATTTTTATATATTATTAAATGAATAAATACATTTAACATCTCACATCTTACATAAATTTAAAAAATTAAATATTTAAATAATACAAAAAATTATATCAAAAAATTAAAAAAAAATTATTTCAAAATCATCTCTATAATATAACTACGTCAGGACATCCCTAATCACAATTAGGTAGCATAGTTCCGAATTTATTGGAAGAAGAATACCAAAAAACCGCGTGCAATTAACCATGTCGTGACGCGTTAATTTCATTGACCATGCGTACAATTTCCAATCCTCTTAATATTTTCCGTGATTCTACCATCATCACATCCATCACCTACTTCTGAATTGTTACGATCCAAACTTCCAAAGAACTTTTCCCCCTTTTTACTCAAGAGGCCCTAGTAAATATGTAAGGATGCAAGGTGTTTTTTTTTTTGACAAAGTTTAATTAAAATAATTATTCTTGTATTAAAGGAAAATTCACTGATATTGAATTTTCCTTTCTTATCTAAAGGTTTTAATTTCATAATTTTGTATAATTCAAATACAAAATAAGAAACCCATAAGAATTTACACATCTCTTTTCTTCTAATTTTAATTTTTTTCACTAAATTAAGATAAAATTTAAGCTTAAAATCTTAAATTTAATGTTTAAATTTTTAATTAATAAATATTAATTGAGACATTCTTTGGAGCCATTAAATTATTAAATAACACTAAGACTACTAGAGCTGCAATCACTCATTACATTAAATTATACAGAAGTACCTACATCCGAAAAGCAACATCATACGAGTTCTTTTTTTTTTTTTTATAACATTGTACTTAGCTATTGAAGTTTGCAATTTGTCCTGAAGAAATAAAACATAAGTTCTAGGTAAGAGAAGATTAAAATTTTGTTAATAAATGTTTATCGAACCATCCCCAATTAATTAAGGGTATTTTTATCTTTTCGTGCCTACATTTGATGTATTTTTTCTTCAAGGAGGATTGTGAAAAACTATTTTTATTGCACGTATATTAAAGAGAATCATATTTTACAATCTGAATTGTAAGATATAAATCGTTGACAAGGAAAAAGATCTCTAACATCAAAAGATTTGACTCCATCTAACTATTTTAATTGTATAACTTGATACAATCTAAACTACACGTTATTTTTTGAATACTAATTAATAATAGAGAAAAGGGAAAATTGAGACTTGCATAAAATTCTTCAAAATCTGCTTGTGAGTTCTTGCAATCTTTGACAGACCCTAGAAGTCTCTACACCAACTCTAGAAATTTTAACCTGCATGCAATTTACATTTATCAAATCAAACTGATGAAGCATTTCGTTTATAAATACATCAAATTTATTTATTTTCTAAATAAAGGTATATATAGCTAGTTAGATAATTAATTAAATATACATATTTGGACTAGAAGAAGTAGTAAATTAAGGATTATTACCTGAGCATGAACAGAGTGGAAAACCTTGTCACCAACGGTGGAAAAACTGGCATTTACAACTTCAGCTCCTTCTTCCTCAAGAATAGTAATCACTTCATGTAACGTGAAGTTCTTCTTCAACCCACTTATCACAATCACTTCAATACTAGAACCCGAGTCTCTTAATTCCACCACCGGCAAACTCAAGCCGACCGGAGCTCTCTCCGTTGTATTCGAGCTCGTTCCAGCCCCCGTTGACTTCGTTACTTGTTCTTTGATCGTCTTTAGCTTCGCTACTCTTTCTGTCAAATGCTTTATGTAGTTGGCAGCAAGGTCTAGTTGTTCATGTTGTGAAATTATAAAATCCTACAAATCAATAATGTTAAAAATACACTTCTCTTCTATTATATAACTCATTCAATCATTTTATATATCAATAAAATCTACCAAAAATGTGATATTCTAATTTCATGGACATGAAAAAATATATAGGAAATCTTTTTTATAACATCAGTATATATCTGAGCTTTTGCCTCACGAATTCCACATAGATATTTACAATTCATCGAATACATAGGCATAGACAAAACTCCACCTACAAATATCTGTTAGAACTGCAAATTAAATCAGTCATATTTTTCACTTACAAACCTCAAATTAAACTCTAATATTTTTGTTTTTTTATAATGAAGGAATGAGAAATTATAGTAAGTACCTTAGAGCTGGGATTCGAGTGTTGGTGAGGGACGAGAGAAACAAGCTTGAAGCACAAATTCTTCATGTTAATTCTTCGGTTCCTCTCGATAGTTTTCCGATCGGGTTTATTTGACGAAGACTCGGACTCATTCTTCTTCTTCATCGTTTCCCTCACGAATCCTTCTTTTCCGTGGAAGCAATAATGCAAAAGAGACACGAAAATGGCAGGTGATGACAGGAAGTGGGAAGGCGGCCCGGTTTCCAAGATCCAAACGTAGACCCCGTATTTATAGGGAGCAAGCGACGAGGAGTGAAAGGGAAATCCGTACGAAGGTGGAAACTGGGTTTTAGAAAAGGAAAAAAAGATCCCGTGTCCCTCAACTTACAAAATTTTGGCAAAAAAGACAATTAAGTTCATTTTTTCTCAATTTAGTCCTTCTGTCTTTTCTCATAATTGAATAAAAATTCTCAAACTTAGTAGCTTTGATAATATCGTCAAGCATAAAATCAATTGAGAAAAAGTAGAGAAGCTCATTCATATTTATAAAACAAGACTATGAATTTTTCTTAAATTAATCAATGCAATTTTTTTCACTTAATAGTATTAAACATTAATAAAAGAATGTAAAAAATTTAAAATGTTGTTATGTCCAATTATTACCATAAAACTTGTAGGTCAATGTGAGTCTCAACTATTTCTCATCCATCTATAGTCGTGATTTGACGTCTTATTTTCTTTGTTTTATAAAAAAATATGTGAGCCATGTAACGTTAACGAAAATGAATAAGTTTGGGGGCTATTTTGTTGGTCTTCCTTTCTTGTGACAAGTCCTTTAGTTTATATTTTAATATAGTTAGCAGCTTAGAAAATAATATTTGGGGCTTATGAGCTGACCCTTGACCATTTGACTCAAAGAATTCCGCGCACTCACCGACCACTTTTTTCCCTGGATTTTGCTTTAGTCATTTTGACCTGCAAATTAGGATGAATTTCATTTTCGAAACAGCATACTGCTATCATGATGAACTTTGACTGCCGGATTTACTTTACAAACATATGCTCAAAAAAGTCATTGTGCAAACCCATAAATTTTGGTCTTATTTAAGAAATTAGAGAAAAAAAAAAAAAAAGTCATTGTGCAAACCCTTAAATTTTGGTCTTAATTAAGAAATTAGAGAAAAAAAAGTCATTATACGACAACCGTGGTAATAAAGAGTAACGAAATATTCAGCTTAATCCATCAAATTTCAAAATTCAATTGAGGTGTTTGCATTAATTTTTTTTTGTAGTTAATAGTTAATAGTTAATAGTTGACATTTGGTAATAATAATTATTTATAATTTAAAATTTTTAATTTATTTGATAAAAATTAACCAATTGATAGTTATTTACAAAATGTTAGAATAAACACTCATAAAATCTAATTTTAGCTTTGTTTTAATAAAGGGTTTTTTTTAATTTTTACTTTGTATATGTTAAAAATATATTTATTGTATGTTTTTATTATTAATTTGTTTGAAAAATTATAAAAATAAATTTTATTTTCAACTTTAATGTTGTTAGATGAAACATTTTAATAAAATGATTGATAAAATTAAAATTAATTTTTATTTTTTATATAAGTTAATAATAATAAAATATAATAAATATGCTATTAATAAAAAATAATTCGTTTAATGACATGATAATAAATGTCAACACTCAATAAAACACATAAAATCATCATGTATTTACTCATTTAATATAATTATGTAAAAATTTATCATCAAAAGTTGTCAGCAAATCAATTTGGTTGTTATAGTAGGGAAATGCGTAAGTGAAGAACATAAATGGCACACGAATGTGAATGAATTTATAATCAAAATTGGCCCACATCTAAGACTAAGACAACTTTCATACTTCTGCTCGTGGGATTGTCACTCAGTCTCAGGAGAGTTGTCTCTCCCTCTATAGAAAAGTCTCGGGAACAAAAGTCCATAATAATTGCTTGTGGTTGCACGACAACGAAATGGATAAACGTTGCATGTAAACTCAGTTATTGGCCGGTGCGCTTAATTCTTCAGTAGAATGGAGATATCATGGTACGATATTTATTAATATAATGATATATTAGTATGTGTACTTTTAATTTATTATTAAAAATTAATTTACTAATAATTTAATTACATATAAGGATAACGTATGCTAGCATGTTATTCCATTAATGGACGAGAATACCACAGCCTATCTTTTTTTCTTTTTTTTTTGAACAAGAGTACATGGGACGGGTAGAACCCTGGCCGGAGTGGGGTATGCATCATGTGGTTAGAGACCACTTGACCCCAAGGGTCAGATGCCACAGCCTATCCTATTGAAATGAATGACTTTCACTCAATTATTATGTTCATATGATACTATTAATGTTGCTTGCACGGACGGAGCTAGTGTAGGACAGGGGGGGAGGTGGGGTGGGGTGGGGCGCCGCCCCACCCAAGCGTTTGAAAAATGTTAAACATGGTACATCAATTTTTATATTCTATAAAATTTTATATTTGAAGTTAATTATTTGAATTATAGGAAGCATTTAAATATAAAAAAATATTTAGGACCTAGCTTAAGGGATCTTTTTTTTTTTTTTTGACTAATTTTTACAGAGACATGATAATTTTATTTAGGTTAGAATAAATATAGAAAATAGTTAAGATATAGTTATTTTGAGATAAACTTATATAAGTTTTAACATTACTTACATATGATTTTTTTGGGGTATGATTTATATTCTATTAAACCAAAATTCATTTGATGCATATAACCTTACCAAAAAAAAATTATATTTATATAATATTTATTGAACAATCTTAAATTCTATGTTATTTAAATATGGTTAAATATATCTAGTTAATATAAAATTTGTTGTAGATGATATAAGTGGTATAT